TCCTCTCAGGACCACCTTTGCTGCATCCCAAAGATTTTGAACAGTTGTGTTTTTATTTTCATTTGTTTCCATGAATTTTTTCAATTCTTCTTTAATTTCCTGGTTGACTTATTCATTCGTTAGTAGGATTTTCTTTAGCCTCCATGTATTTGAGTTCTTTCCAATGTTTAAAATCGAATTTGTCCAAATAATGATTGCCACCCCAGCTTTCTTTGGATGCATGGTTTGAACAGTTGTGTTTTCATTTTTATTTGTTTCTATGAATTTTTTTAATTCTTTTATATTTCCCAATTAACCCATTCATTCTTTAGTAAGGTGCTCTTTAGCCTTCCATGTATTTCAGTTCTTTCCAAATTTCCTGTTGTGATTAAGTTCTAGTTTGAAAGCATTGTGGTACTGGTTCAGACCTGATTTGTGACCCATGATCTATTCTGGAGAATGTTCCATGTGCACTCGAGAAGAATGTGTATTCTGTTGCTTTAGGATGGAATGTTCTGAATATATCTGTGAAGTCCATCTGGTCTGTGTGTCATTCAAAGTCCTTATTTCCTTGTTGATCTTGTGCTTAGATGATCTGTCCATTGCAGGGATGTTAAAGTTCCCTACTATTATATTATTATTGATGCGTTTCTTTGATTTTGTTATTAATTGGCTTATATAATTGGCTGCTCCCATGTTAGGGGCATAAATATTTACAATTGTTAGATCTTCTTGTTGGATAGACCGTTAATCATGCTACAGCATCCTTCCTCATCTCTTATTACAGTGTTTGGTTTAAAATCTAATTTGTCTGATATAATGATTGCCACCCCAACTTTCTTTTGATGTCCATTAACATGATAAATGGCTTTCCGCCCCCCCACTTTCAATCTGGAGGTGTCTTTCAGTCTAAAATCAGTCTCTTGCAGACAGCATATTGATGGGTTTTGCTTTTTTATCCAATCTGATAACCTGTGTCTTTTGATTGGGGCATTTAGCCCATTTACATTCAGAGTAATTATTGAAAGATATGAATTTAGTGCCATTGCGTTACCTGTAAAGTCATTGTTTCTGTATATTGTCTTTGTTCCTTTCTGTTCTATGTTACTTTTGGGCTCTGTCTTCACATAAAGGATCCCTTTTAATATTTCTTGTAGGATTCGTTTGGTGATCACAAATTCTTTTGGTTTTTGTTTGTCCTGGAAGCTTTTTCTCTCCTTCTATTTTGAATGATATCATAGCTGGATAAAGTATTCTTGGCTGCATATTTTTCTCATTTA